TGGGGACGTGTCCAGGGCCTGGGAAACCTTTCAGACGGGTCTGGGGGCTGAGCAGGAGAAAGACCTGGGGAGCAGTGGTCCTTGTCCAGGGAACCTCCTCAGATTCGAGCTTCAGCTTATCCCAAAGGCCACCAATGCCCTCTCCCGGGGGCTGCGCTCATTTTGCTTCCTGAGGGCCCAGGGCCGGGTGCAAATAGCATCTTCCTGAGCACCTGTGAGGGCCGAGTCGGGCATGGGGTGGTTGGAGCCCAGCTGACTCGGATTCAGAGGAGGACTTCATCTCACCTCTCTGAGCCTCAGTTTCCTCATCTGTAAAATGGGAATAGGGAGAGTGTCTTGCTCATATAGTTGTTGTGAGGCTTAAATGAGGGCATGCTTGTGGGGTGTTTACCACCAGGCCCTCTGTTAGCATAAGTGGCACCCGCGTCTGTCGTCTCATAACTCGTTTAAATTGGTTGGATGTTCCAGGTCTGCTCGTCCCGGGGATGAATTGAGTTTGCACCATCAGTTCGCCTCCTCTTGGCGTCCTGCAAATCTACCAACTTGTAACATCTTAGCGCATGCTCTTCTCTCCTGCACGTGACCTCCAGCACCACTTCCTCTCCGCGGTTGATTCTCGCTTTTTCTGGAACTATCTGGCTTATTCACAGCTTCCCGTTTTCACTCTTCCCTACTCAGAGAAAAAGAGGGCAGATCAATGCTTCATACGTGACAATATAGTTGATAGAAGCAATAAACACTATCTACAGCTTCATCTCCCACTTGTTAAAATTATAATACCAATGTTGTTATTATAATTTACCATTTCTACACTTTATTTTCACTTTACCCTTTTGAATTTATGGACCATTATGTCCGTTACGGACTTTCAGCCTTTAGGAGACTCAGCCTGTGCTGTTGAACTATAACGAGTATTTCCTTTTGGATGTCAAATTGTCGCATTTTGGCCGATAGGAGCCCCATGAAGTTATCTCCTGTCTCCTTTCAGCATCCCTTGCTGACACTCCAGAAGGCACACACTTGCTTTCTAGCAATGACACCATGGCCCAGGCCCATCTTCACCTTCTCCTGCCCCAAGACATGGCGTCACGACCCTCTCTGGGAGAGGAAGAGGGCAGAAGGTGGCACTGGTCCTTCCAGGAACCACAGGCAGGGCTGGAAGGGCAGGACTCGCCCCTGCAGGACAGAGGGAGACCTCACAGGACCTTGGGACTTGTTTTTCAGAAATCCATGCCCTGCGTGGGTGGCTCAGATAACAGAGAGCAATAGGGCGCTCCAAACTTGCCCTCATCGAGCGCAGACCTTGGGTTGAAATGGTTCGATTCAACTTGTTGTCTTTATCATGTTGACTTTAAGCATGTCTGTTTGCTTGGTTTTATGGAGTCTCTTGCTGCTTTCATTTTACATTACAAATCTCCAAACTGTCTCCAGTGCCCGGCCTGTCACCACTTGCATTGTGGCTGGTATTTCTCAAGTGCTGTGTGCCGGGCTCTATTTTAATGCCACGTGCTGGGTACCGTTATTGCCCCCTTAGTACAGATGAGGAAACTGAGGCACAGAGAGTTACCGCGATGCTGACGATGCAGCCAGTCTGCCTCCCTTGTCTCTCCCTCCCTCTCTTCCCTTCCTTCCTCTGTCTATAATCAGCTTATAGGGTCATCTTCCTTAATTTCCCCCATCTATTAATATACCTGTTCATTTATTCATTCACTCACTAAACATCATGTATTGATCACCTACTGGCTCAGAGTTTGCAAAGGTGAAAAGATGTGGTTCCCACCGTCCAGGAACTCACATCCTGGTGGGGCCAAACCTGGGGACCACAGAGGCCCTTTCGGATGTCCTGGGTGGGAGGATAAGGCAGAGAGATGCAGACAAGGCGTGGGCTTGAGAGATAAACAAGAGGCAGGAGCAACAGATAAGGGTTGACTTTGGGGATCAGTGCTCAGGAGGCATGGGGCTGACCCTGCGCTCCCTGGAAGCTATGCTGGAGTCCACATCTCCACACATTCTGTTCAGTTCTCTCTCTGTCGACTCACCCACCTCCCTAGATAGAGTGTCTCAATCCTCTTGTGACAGGAGGGAGCAAAGACTCCAAAGGCAGGTCCACAGCCAGCTGTTGGGGCTCTTCAGATGATGAAATGCCCCTTGTTGGGGGGGATTTCACAGCGTCTGTCCTATTTGCCTCTCCTTCCACCCCATCTCAGCTCTGGGGCTCAGGCCCCCATCTCTCATCCAACAGCCCCTCTTCCTCCCATGTACCAGGCAGGCAGCTGAGACCCAGCTTCCTCAAAGAACTTGCTTGTCCTGAAGTCCTCCCCAGTGGGGGCTGTTTATTCCCCAACATCTCTGACCCTGGGTACCACAAGAAGGTCCGATTCTCCTAGTCTCACCGCTACCTCCAAACCTCTCCTTCCCTAGCAGTCACGTAGCGACCTCCCCGGATGGCCCCACCTTCTCCCAGCCTCGTCCCTGACATGCACAGGCCCGTGGATCACATTCTCTGTCACAGGAGAAGGGCATCTTGGGCCCAGCCTGGTCTTCTCTGCATCACTCGGCATCTTTGTGGATGGTCTTCTGAGCCCCTGGCCCCTCGCTTCCTGTCCAACTCAACTCCAGTGACCTTCTCCTTCATTCCTCTCCACCCACATGTGACCCATGGACATACCTTGGGGCTTGATGTCAGGTCTGAGGCCTCTGTGACAACTCTTCATCTTCAGCCCCCCTCTTGATTGCCTCCTCCTCAACTGTCCTTAGCCCTCATGGACTGCCAGTGTAGACAGATGGAGACAGTGTGGTGTGACCAGCTTAAACCTCATGGTCCATCACTTCAGCCACACTCTTGTCCATACTTGTGGTAGACACAATGATGTCCCCAGAGATGCCCACGTCCTAATCCCCAGGACCTGTGAATGTGTCACCTTGCATGGCAAAAGGGACTTTGCAGATGTGATTAAGGTTAAAGATCTTGAGATGGGAGAGTATCCTGGATTATCCACGTGGGTCCAGTGTAATCACGGGGTCCTTATTAATGGGGGGCAGGAGGGTCAGAGTCAGAGAAGGGAGTGTGACGATGGAAGGAGAGGTTGGGGGGACACCAAGAACGGGCCATGGATCCAGAAATGCAGGCGGCCTCTAGAAGCTGGAGAAAGCCAGGAAAAGAATTCCCTGCTAGAGCCTTAGATTTCTGACCTCCAGTACCGTCAGGTAACAAATCTGTGTTGTTGTAAGCAACTAAGTTGTGGTACTTTGTCGTGGAGCCAAGGAAACCAACACAACCTTCAGCTCCCATCTGTTTTTCTTTGTGACCATCCAGCAAGACCCCAACTCTCCATCAGTCTAGCCACCCTCTGTCCCCCACCTTCACCGGTACTGGGGACCGCTGCTGGAGAAAACCAGCTTCAGCCCCCACACTGGCTTCTTGCTGCTGTCAGAAGAAAGTCCTGGCTCCTTAGCATGGCGTTCACGGTCTTCTGAGGCCGGGTCCCCTGTCTTTCCTTTGGGCTCCACACTCCTCACACCAGGGGTCGACAAACCACGGCCCACAGGCCAGTCCGGCCCGCCACCTGGTTTTGTATGGCCAGAAAGCCAAAAATGGTTTCTACATTTTTAAACGGTTGTGAAAAAATCAAAAGAAGCATAATATTTTTTAACACAAGAAAATTAAACGAAATTCTGTGTTCAGTGTCTGCATACGCTGTTTTATTGGAACACAGCCATGCCCACCGTTTACTGCCCGTGGCTGCTTTCCTGCTACAGTGGCAGAGGGAGTAGTTTTGACAGGAACCATACGGCCTCCAAACCCTAAAATATTTACTATCTGGCTCTTTCCCGTACACGTTTGCCAATCCCTGTCTGAGACTATGGTCACGGCCGCCACCTCTGTTTGTCAATCGCAGCCTTGCCTCCCGGGCTGCTGGCTTTTGCACAGGCTGCTCTCTGCCCTGGGAGGGAAGCACCCTTCTCCACCTCTTCCCATGGCTGTCTCAGCGTGTGCCTCCACATCCGGGTCCAGGAGAAGTACACTGATAAGCCTTCCTGATGCCCCGCCCCCACAACCTGGCCGTGCTGGGTTAGGGCTCCCTTCTTGCTGCTTCCATGGCACATTCTAGGTACTCAATAGATACCGTTCAACTAACAATGAATACGTCATTCACCAGACTTTATAAGTGATTATAGTCCAGGAAAACTTTGTTGGTAAGATTGGGAAAGTCACATTTGATAGACCCTTGGCCCTGGGAGGGCCAGAAGGGCCTTCAGTGATCTGTTTGACTTGGCAGAAGCTCTAGCCCTAGAAATACGAAGTGTCTGCTTGAGATCACGTGAGTAAGTGGCAGAGCCAGGACTGGAATAGAGATCTCACCCCTGAATGCATTCCTTTTTCAATAACGTAACATTGTATCTTGTGGGTTTTCGTTTTGTTTTATTTTAGCATGTGATCTTATTATATGGATTGTTGGGAATGTTGGAAAACTAACACAGTAAATATTTGGGTTAGTGAAGCCAAACCGTAAAATGCTTTGTAGTCCTCAAAAACTTTTTGCTGAGTATATGTGTAACTAATAGTTTTATAAGATTAAGTCAAATTAAAGTGATTAGTTTTATGAATCTGAACATGAACTTCAGGACACATCATTTTTGAGCCTTTATTTGTGGTGAGGGAAATTAATTTATTAATGTCTTAAATCACTTAGCATCAATGGAGAGAGAAAAAAAGAATCTTTTGATTTTTTTCTATTTTTTTTGCAGAGATCATTGCCAGGTGTTGCATGAAGAGCTTTTTAATAAAGTGACTTGATAACTTAGTATTAATTAGTATAATTTTATTTACCTGGAATGTGAATTCTTCTTTCATCAACTGAAATCACCAGAAATACCAAGTGTGGACATATATCTAAATCTTGGGGGCCGGCCCCGTGGCTTAGCAGTTAAGTGCGTGCGCTCCGCTGCTGGCGGCCCGGGTTCGGATCCCGGGCGCGCACCGACGCACCGCTTCTCCGGGCATGCTGAGGCC